CTCGTTATGACAAGGCACGACAAGAAAACCATCGCTCCTTTCGCTACAACTTAAGGCTCCGAATGGCAACAGTGGAAGGGGTTCGCAATGCATTCTACGGATATGCTTGTGAAAAGGCTGAGAGAATTGCAGAACTCAGATACTACATCTCTCAATTGGATGCAGACACCAGCTCAGAGCAGAGCGATTCTGACTCAGTGTAGTTATTGAGTAAACAGCCTGATGTTCAAGACATTGGCTATATAGCCCTTTTCAGGGCTGACCAAACATCACGAAAGAAAACTTCAAAACTTCAAAACATTCTGTACATTGCTGTTTTCACACTTGTGTGGAAACTGCGTACATATCACCCTACTAAGGAAAGCAAAACGTATTTTGCTTTTTGTACATTGAGATATTTCTCCCAATAGTGTGATTTTCCACATTTAGCTCTTGATGGTTTACTGTTTTGCTCATCGATACACTTCTTCCATTTGTACATGTTAGTTATTATTAAAAAAGCATAAGACAATACTTTAAGGTGTGTTGGGGTAGACGGAATTTTTTTTGAAAAGGAGAAGTATAGACATTTACACCAGTCACAAGTTGTGATTTTCATGTACTCTCTATAAGAAAGTAACAGTCTATCACAATGATAAGACAACATACCGGCTTGTATATTGGAATATTTATCAACATTGTAAACACAAAAGTAAACCAAAAGGTCCACACACGTTTTTTTGTGTCTGCTCTCATTGACATCGAGTACGGGTAAAGCAGTGAAATGTCATCAGTCGGCCGTTTCGGCTGTCTCCCATGGTAGCATCTGGAACTGCTCATTTGTGACGTCATTCGGACTTTACGTCACAATATGATTTTAATGACGTCATCACAGCTGACGACGTAACAATATAATGGTGTGAGCGATGTTTGTATGTATTAATACGCAGAGAATTTCCGGGAATCAAATACCATTTGATCACGTTTTTCAACCAATCAGATTAAAGAACACATTGACTTTTGGTTTACAATGCTGATTTCACACTTGTGTGGAAATTGCATACAGGTCAACGTTTTAAGGAAAGCCCAGTATATTTTGATACTTTCAAATCGAGATATTTTCCCCATTAGTGTTTTCCACATTTATATCTTGATGGCGTTCTGTTCCAATCATCGATACACAGCTTCCATTTGTACGTTTAAGTTACTATTGCAAAAGCATTAGGATACACTCAAATATTTTAAGGTGCGTTGGAGGTTATAGATGTTATCTTAATTGGGACAAGCATAGACATTTACAACAGTCACAATTATTAATGTCCATGCACTCTCGATTCGAAAGGCACACCCTGTTCATAATGGTAAGACAACATACCGACTTGTATACAGGGATACCCTTTGTTTCATCAAATTGTAATAACTTCAAAGAAATTCCCGACTGTACGATTCTACTTGAATGATTGCAGCAATTTAAATACAAGTAAGAATATCCACTGGCTTCGTTTGGGCTTCTTACTGTACACTGGGACTTGCAGGATAGGGTGCCTTTCAGTCGTGTCTTCATACATTCACCACAGATGAAAACAAGTAACTATGTAACACATTGTATCAGGAACAAAATAAGTTCAAAGGATCCCCCAAAGTGCAAAATGGGATATAATCAGTCTTATAAAACAATAACATTTCAAGTAGTTCGTTTCCTTTAAACTGGCCAGTGTTGCATAATGGGGAATCTTTCTTTGAACATTTGATCTCAGAAACATCAAAACGACAGGAAATGATTTGTTACATTTATAAATCGTTACTCTGAAGTTAATCAGTTATCTATAGGAACAGACAGGTGTTTCTAATCTTCTCCACACGCACTACGCCCAATTAGACTCGTTACTGCTGAAGGCCTGCTGATAGTTATAGCACTTATCAAAATAAAGGCATACCCGATTCCTCATTTCTTATCAACACGTACCAAGTAGCTATGACCCGCTGGTTAAAGTTGCTGTGTAATCAACGCTATAAGATAATACATAGGATAAGACAACAGTTGCAAGGTGTATTGGGAGGGTCAGTCTTTATCTTTAATAGGAGATAGTAGCCTTTTACACCAGTGACAAGTTGTGATTTTCATGTATTCTCTGTAAGAAAGTAACAGTCTATCACAATGATAAGACAACATACCGACTTGTATATTGGAATACCCTTTGTTTCATTAAATCGTAATAACCTCAAAGAAATGCCCAATTGAAAGATTCTTCTTGAATGTTAACAGCAATTTAAGTGAAAAGTACAAGTATCCACTGGCTTCATGTGGGCTTCTTACTGTACACTAGACCACAGATGAAAACAAATAACTCTGTAACACGCTGGACAAGTGAAAAGGATTCTTCAAAGTGTGAAATCGGATTTGATCACTATTCTAAAACAATTCGATTACAAGCAGTGTTTTCCTCCTACCCTAAACTCTCTAATAGAAATCCTTCTTTGTACATTTGATCTCAAAGAAACAAAAAACAATAGGAATGGGTATGTTACATTTACAAAGCGTTATTCCGAACTTAAACAGTTATCAATAAGAACATACAGGTGTTTTCTAATCTTCTCCACATGTACTACATTCAGTTAGACTCGATACCGCCGGAGACCTGCTGATAGTTCTTTTGAGTATAACAAATATAAAGATTAAGGCAAATCAGATTCATCATGTCATTAAATCGATCCTTCTGAAGGCATTGTTCGCAGAACTATAATCAATCATCGTCTTTCCAAAGTCATCTTCCATTATTTTCTTATTGGCAGTCCTGTTCTGTTTTGGGGTTGTTTTTTTTGTTAAAACAATTGTTTCTGGTGTGTTCCCGACGTACCATCCCCATATATGATCCAACATGTCACGCCTGTTGCTATACGAGATGTTTATATTGATGTCACTGATGTGTAATATGTTTCTATCTGTAAACTGTAATGTTCTCCACCCGCCTCAAACGGAAATGCTGATGACACGCAACTTGCATTGAGTCTTCTATTTGCAGTATTTTGTCAAATGATGTAATTGACAATACAACCCATTTCGGGTGTTCGCGTGCATGCGTGTGTGCGCACGTGTCTATCTGTATGCGCATGCGTGTGTGTAGATGCTAGCTTCGAGCTGACCAATTCTTTCTCTCCATTACTGCCCTGGGTCTGCTCCTCTTTTATGGCGTGCGTACTTGGGTGGGTAGGTGGGTATGTGGGTGGGTAGGTAGGTCGGTCGGTCGGTCGGTCGGTCCCAAACAGCTGCTGATACGGCAAGGAGAACAAATGGGACAAGACAACGTCTTGCGAAGACGCCTTGCTGCCTTCAACATACGGTGTCGTCGCCCGTACCGTGGTCCAACCTTATTGCATCGCCACAGACTTGTCAGACAGCGATAGGCAACTAATGGGTCCAATCTGGGCAACAGGCCATGGCGAGATTCATTTTTCAGATGAATCCAGGTATAACGTATATATCGACGTCGAGGAGAAAGACTTGTGCCAAACTGTGTCCTTGAACATGATCGTTTTGGAGGGGGTGGTGTCATGATCTGGTGTGCTATCAATCCTAACTTCCGATCCCAGATGGTAGTGGTTAACGGCAATCTGAATGCTCAACGTTATGTGAACAATATCCTTCGTCCGGCTGTACTCGTAATGATGGATTAACATGGCGGTCAACCATTTTGTGTTTCAGCATGATACTGCACGTCCCCAAGCAGCCAGGGTAACAAGGGACTTTTTGAATAATGAGAATGTCCGTGTGGTGGACTGGCCTTCATTGTCCCCAGTCATGAACCCAATCGAGCATCTGTGGGATGAACTTGGACGGCGAGTTCGTAATCTACTTGTGCCACCAAGGACAGTTGCTGAATTGACACAGGCCCTTCAACATCACTGGCAGACCATCCCACAGCTGTTCCTGGGAAATTTGTGTCTTTCAATGCCCCGGAGACTGCGAGCACGTCTTGCAGCGCAAGGTGGACACACACGATGTTGACTGCATGTGACCCCTTCTTTGTTTGATGTCGTTATTGCGTCACTGATGTTGTTGTTGATTGGACATTTTCAGATGAAATTATCCACAGATGTTTACTTAAAACATATCTGCCAGTTAGGTTTATATATGTTGAAATTAGTGTGAGTAAAGAACGTATGAATGTCAAATTGCGTTTTTAATGGCTTTCAGTATATGATGGAGTGAGAACAGTTTTACACCGCTTTTAACAATATCAAGGTGGGGGACACCAGAATTTGGCTGAACACAGTGTACCCATTTCGGGAATCGAACCCCAACATATGACCTAACGAGTGAACACCTCTCCAGCAAAACATGTAGGTTGTATCAGAAATATCTACGTTGTCCGGATTCGGCCATAATACAGTTCATCATGAAACTGTCGGACAAATGTGACGAGGTTTTTGGTGATTGAGTGAGTTGAGTTTTATGCCGCACTCAGCAATATTCCAGCTATATGGCGGAGATCAGTAAATAATAGAGTCTGGACCAGACAATCCAGTGATCAACAACATGGGCATCGATCTGCGCAATTGGGAACCAATGACATGTGTCAACCAAGCCAGAGAGCCTGACCACCCGATCCCGTTAGTCGCCTCTTACGACAAGCATGGGTTACTGGAGATTCATTCTAACCCCGACCTTCACGGGTGTTTTTTGGTGGATATATGAGACGTGGTTATTGGAAGATAGATGAGGATATGTTATTGGTGGATATATGACACACGGTTAATGGAGTGAGTGAGAGTTTTGTTTTACGCCGTTTCAGCAATATTTCAACAATATCACGGCTAGAGTTATTGGAAGATAGATTAGACTAGGTTATCGGTTGATATATGAGACGTGGTTATTGGAAGATAGATAAATTAGTCTTTCGGTGGAATGTATATGATACTTAGTGGAATATATAGTAGGTGAAGTGTAAGCACGTGTGTGTGCGTGTGTGTGTGCTTGTACTTACGACAGTTGGTTCGTTTGCGTGTTGTTACTATAGTACTGTCGGAAAAACTGTATTTTCTCTTTTATCTCTACAATTCATGTAGTTGACATGTGCAAGTGTGAAATATCTCTTAAACTAAGTTCGGCCTAACTACAGTCTCAATGGTAGGTACACAAGAAACGTAGAAAAAGGACTTTACTGAGGAGAGATTAGTGCAGAAATGAGCAATGCGATTTTTTTCTAAGTCCAAAACGAATTATTTGGAACAGACCATAGCTGTATGCAAATTAGTGTGCGACGATATTGTATTATAAAGGACACTTTTTAAGTGACCAATTTGAAATTAAACGATAGCTGGCGTAAACAATAATAACTTTCATGCTGAAACTATTAAGGATGTAGCTACCATGGAGTCTCACTGTCAATATAAAAAGAAACAGATAGGAGGGTTCGTCTCAAAAGCAAAACCTGGACGGGTGTCGCAGACGATCGTTGGGGTCGGGCTTGGGGATAGAGATATCAGCTAAGATACGATAATCCTTTAGGGGAATTATACCGGGGAAGTACACGGCATGTCATAACAATTTACAAATAATATCCAGTCCAGTCGATCTTTGCGATCGGGTGGTCATGCCAACTATATATTTTGAGACATTTAATACGATGCGTTTCTATGGTTATCAGGTATCAAACTCTTTTACATATCTCAACATAAACTTTATGAAAGAAAGACACTTAAGCTGTTAATCAATAGATGAGGCATAGTCAACACACATGAAAAAGCACAAAATATCTTTGAGATGACTCCTTGGGCGCCTGTAGGCAGCACATGCATTTCATGCCAGGTGAGTGGACGGTCCGTCGTCACGCCTGGCTGAACGGCCTAATTGCCATCTGTCTGATCTATTGTTTTCAGCAGCTATTCGTATTTTTTCTAAGTTTTGCCCGATTTTACGAGTAAACATGCTTTTCTGGATATCCCATTACGCATCCCACTGAATGCCAAGTTAGGCCGAAGTGGGTTATTTCGACATATGCTATTTGCAGTTGTGTAAATTTTAGGGATACAGAGTAAGAGCCTAAAAACAGTTTTTTTCTATTTCCGACAGTACTATTTTTTATAGTATTGACTCGTACCGGTTGCGTTGTGTCACCCCTCAATGATTACAGTTTACCATGAATGAATGAATGAATGAAGGTGAAGGTGAGTCTAAGAAGGATAAAGTGAAGGTCACTGTAAGAAGGGTAAGGTGAAGGTGACTCGAAGGAGGATAAGGTGAAGGTCACTGTAAGAAGGGTAAGGTGAAGGTGACTCGAAGAAGGGGATAAGGTGAAGGTCACTGTAAGAAGGATAAGGTGAAGGTGAGTCTAAGAAGGATAAGGTGAAGGTGTCTCTAAGAAGGATAAAGTGACGGTGACTATAAGAAGGATAAGGTGAAGGTGTCTGTAAGAAGGATAAGGTGAAGGTGACTCTAAGAAGGATAAGGTGAAGGTGACTCTAAGAAGGATAAGGTGAAGGTGACTCTAAGAAGGATAATGAATGAATGAATGAATGAATCTCTTTATTTCCTCCAGATTGTAGTCCGAAGATCATTATAAACATGTACATGAAATATTTACAGCAACATAATCACAGCAATATATTCACAACACATTCCTATAGTCATATATACATGTACAAAGAGAAATGAAAGGTCTAGGATGCACAGTTTAGTGAGGGAAGCAAGGAATATAGGTATTAACAGAAGAGGACAATCATACATCTCCATGACATTTCATCAATATCGTTAGTCACTAGTAGTTCACCCCCAGAAAATAGTGATAACATTTCATCTTCAGATAATAATTCTATTTGTACATAAACATCCACATCAAAGAAATCTATAAGTTTTGAAAAGAAATTATTTCTGTTGTACATATAGTGTTCACAGTGTAGAATTACATGGCAGTCATAATCATTACAATATCTTTTGCAGAGTTCACAATGTTTTGAGAATTTTCCCCTTGAGCTGATTTGTACACAAAACTGTAATATATCTTTAAACTGTGGGTAAAAATACATCAAACAATACAATCTATGTACACCAAAGAAATTGTGGGTCAGGCGATATCTATTCATATCGTGCCTTACACACACTTGAGAGACCCATCGTTCAGTTTCAGATTAATTTATACAATTAATAGTTATTCTTCGCCATGACGATTTACATGGAAACCTTCCAAAATCGAGATAGGTAGTCACTAAGATAATTGAAGAGATTGTATTTTAAACTGGTTTGAATAAGTGTGTCACATATACTATGTAAGACAGATGTTCTATTTTGAAAGGTGGCTTAATGTACACAGATAATATCCTTAAATGAAGAATTACACTTGCTGTTGCACAGCTTGACGAGAAATAATAGTCTACATTTATCTATATAACCACCCATGCTCCACAATCCAAGGTTACCTAGCACTGAAGCAGAGGAAAAGCACTTACCGAAACCCTGAATGCATCTGGCAAAATATCTCTGTGTACTTTATACCAAGTCATAATCTTTACATCGAAGAAAGGGTAAAAGTTCACAACCGTAAAAGCTCGTTGGAAGTATCATTCTTTTTTCATATTTTAACAGAAGAAGTAGGGTGGAGATCTTTACCATTTAAACCGAGACTTTTTAAAGAATCTACAGATTGCCGTGCTTTCTGGCAGTATGAATATACTCTAGATTTTGGGGATAGATCAGACGAAGGTAAAATGCCTCCATACTTAACACAATCACTTATTGGTATGTCTGAATCACCAAATTTGAAAGAATAATTACCCAGACGTTCCTTATATTTGCAGAAAATGACACAAGTGCTTTTATAACCGTTATACGTTAGACGCCACTTACAAGCATAGCTATAAACAGTATCAAGTGATGATTGAAGACCTTTTGGAGAAGTGGAAGCAAGTGTTGTGTTCAAAGTTGTGTTCAAATCTCTAAGTTCACATATCAAATCATCACTAAAAACAAGGAAAAACCAGGAAGACAAGACTCTACCTTGCCCAACGCCTTGCCTGATAACATATTCATTTGATCTCAGACCACAATATTGCACAAAAGCAGAGCTTTATGTATAACTTTGATATAGGAGCTGCCACATTTTGCCCTTTATACCCATTTGATATAGCTTTAAAAAGAGTCCATTATGCCATATGCGATCAAACTCCTTCTCATTGTCCATAAAGGCTGTATAAACTGGAGAACCTCTGCTTAGATAATATGATAAGCTTTCATTTAGAGTAAAGACTGAAGTGGTTGCTCCATGTTCCTTTCTAAATCCAAATTGGAGCTTGTCTGGAAATGAGGGTATGTATTCTTGTACCCAGATTTCTAGTCTAGCCAATAAGACGTTTTCAAAAAGTTTACCAATACAAGAAGTTAGAGTTATTCCGCTATAATGTTTTGGATCATTTTTCGCCTTTTTTACCTTTATATATTGGGATAACTACACCTCTTCTGAAAGTGCTAGGGACATATGCAGATCCTAGAATACAGTTTAAAAGTGTCGTTAATGTATTTACGGTGTCATCACCACCATTAATAAGATGTTCATTGTGAATACAGTCCGGGCCAGGAGATTTATTTTTGTGGAGATTACTGATATGTTCCTTTACTTCATCACTTTCAATATGTTTACATAAATATCTTCATTGCAGGAGGACTGTTTCTGGCTTATATTTCTAACCTTCCTGTCAACTGTTATTTGAAAGTTGCTATCAAATAATGGAGAGTAATGAGGCTGTGTTTGCACATTTATCACCAAATACTAGCTCTTTAACAACTGGACTCTGTCGCCTCATTTTGCGAACTGATTTAAAGAAAGTACCTATATCAGCATCGGAACACCTTTCTAATTCGCTACTTAAGTTTGACCGCTGTTTCCGTTTAGACTTACGATGTAATCGTCTAAATTCCAGCTTAGCTGATTTGTAATTAATGTACAAAGGCGAGTTACCTGTCCTTGGTTTACCATCAGCCAACCACTCGCGTCTAGCTACACGCATATTGTAATGCAAATCATTTAGTCCATCTGATTTCCAGTATGGCTTTAAATGTGCTTTAAAAACACCCGAATGAATACACCGGGAACTGGCGGATGTAAAGCATTTATAACATTTCATGTGTATGATTCAATTTTATGGTGAGTTAGGGGATGAGGGGGGATAGTAATTTCTGAGAGAAGTCGGGAACTCTCCTCGCTGTATACGTTAATGTCACATTGGTCAGCTTTTTGCCAATTTGGAAAACAGAGGCTATCAGATTTGCGTACATGTTCCTGTTGTCTAGATACAGTAACAAGACATGGGTAATGGTCAGATACAGCGTAGCTACAATCATCCATTACACAACAATAGGCAAGCTGACCGGTCAGCTGTGACGGGAGGAGTATGTAATCAATGAGCAATTTAAATCTGCTGTCCCTACTTCATATCCGATTAGCAAAATTTTGTTTTGATTGTTTGTTCTTATTTTGTTTTACTTTTTTGGGGTGGGGGGTGGGGGTGGGGTTGTGTTTATTTTTGTTAATGCCATAAAGCTTAGGTTTTCACTTGCACCTTCAGCAGCCAATGGGTGTGTTCAATGCTACATGTTTTGATGAAGGTCGACACGCTGTTTTCTATCACGGCGGTGCTGTATGACTGTTGCTGTATTTTTTACGGATCTTTTTACTGTTTTACTTCCTGCATCTATTTCACTGGTTATAACCTACAATAGAAATGTGATTACAACGATGGCTCTCATAACGCACTAAGGGTTATAGAGAACAAGTATCTATTGTTCCGACCACTTGCTGTTTATCTTGGTCGAAACGAGGAGGACGAACTAAAGTTGTAACGATCTAAAATTAATGTTTCCTTTGTGCTCGCTAAGGACGAACTACAGTTGTAACGAACTAAATTGATGTTTCCTATGTGCTCACTAAGGACGAACTACAGTTGTAACAATCTAAAATTAATGTTTCCTTTGTGTTCACTAAGGACGAACTACATGTACAGTTGTAACGATCTAAAATTAATGTTTCCTTTGTGCTCACTAAGGACGAACTACAGTTGTAACGATCTAAAATTAATGTTTCCTTTGTGCTCACTAAGGACGAACTACAGTTGTAACGATCTAAAATTAATGTTTCCTATGTGCTCACTAAGGACGAACTACAGTTGTAACGATCTAAAATTAATGTTTCCTATCTGCTCACTAAGGACGAACTACAGTTGTAACGATCTAAAATTAATGTTTCCTAGGTGCTCACTAAGGACGAACTACAGTTGTAACGATCTAAAATTAATGTTTCCTATGTGCTCACTAAGGACGAACTACAGTTTTAACGATCTAAAATTAATGTTTCCTTTGTGCTCACTAAGGACGAACAACGGTTGTAATGAACTAAAATCACTGTTTCCTTTGTGCTCGCTAAGGACGAACTACAGTTGTAACGATCTAAAATTAATGTTTCCTTTGTGCTCGCTAAGGACGAACTACAGTTGTAACGATCTAAAATTAATGTTTCCTTTGTGCTCGCTAAAGACGAACAACGGTTGGAATGAACTAAAATTAATGTTTCCTTTCGCTCGCTTAGGACTAACTACGGTTGTAATGAACTAAAATGAATGTTTCCTTTGTGCTCGCTAAGGACGAACAACGGTTGGAATGAACTAAAATGAATGTTTCCTTTGTGCTCGTTGAGGACGAACAACGGTTGGAACAACTAAAATTAATGTTACTGATGCTTCTAGTATACCATCTGCTTTTACGGATTCGGAAACATACGAGGCTCTGAAAACTTATTTTAGTTCAGTTACAAATATAGACGATTATACTCATGTGCTGCCCGATACTTAGAACATATGTTGTGTTAAACTCCAAGAGGTTCACATTGAACTTTATGAAATAACCGATTTGATAAAGTCAGTCATAACAAATATAGCTAGTGATCCAGTTGACATTAATCATCGCCTTTTGAAACATATTGTCCATTCCAAAGCCACCACATTGTGCTTATTAGTCAATCTGTCTTTGATCAAGCACGAATTTCCACAACATTGGAAATTGGCACTAGCCATTCCAATATATAAGAAAGGTGATCAATCTTTACCTTCCAAATGTAGACCTATATCACTATTACCATGTATCAGAAAGATATTAGAGAGTTTTCAAAATATTGTATGCTCTCATAAATCACAACTTGAAATACCAATTATGATTTATATACCAGGTCACTCAACCCCTTTTCAACTACTTGAAATATACAATCAAATATGTAAACCATTAGAACAGCACAAACAGTTTTGTATGGTCTTCTGTGACATTTTTAAAGCATTTGACAGAGTTTGGCATGGTATTAATGATAACTAGCTCAAACAACTATTTCACTAACAAGTCAGTCTTAACGTTTGCCTCTGCCGTGAACAAACGCTAGATTCTGGAGTCCCTCAGAGATCAGTTCTTGGGCCATTATTATTTTTGATATATATGTACATTAATGACATATATTGTGAAATGGAATATTGGAAAAAGGCTATTCGCAGGTGATACAAACATTGATATAGTACCTCCGGATATTAAGCACGTTGAAAACTCATTGAATGAGTGAGTGAGTTTAGTTTTACGCCACACTCAACAATATTCCAGCTATATGGCGGCGCTCTGTAAATAATAGAGTCTGGACCAGACAATCCAGTGATCAACAGCATGAGTATCGATCTGCGCAATTGGGAACCGATGACATGTGTCAACCAAGCCAGAGAGCCTGACCACCCAATCCCGTTAGTCGCCTCTTACGGGAAGCATGGGTTACTGCAGACTCATTCTAACCCCGACCTTCAGGGGTTCATTGAATGAAGACCTATGCAACTTACATTGGGCACAAACATGGTTGGTACAATTTAATCCTAGCAAAACCAAGTATATACTATTCTCACATAAAACCTCCGATGGAGAACCAACGCTTGTTTTCAAAAGCGCTTCTATCGAAAGGGTAGACCGTGACAAGTATCTTGGTGTTACAATTATAAATTATGGAAAGATAATATGAACAACATTCTTACAAGTCCTTCAAAATGATGTCACCGATGAGAAAACTTAAATGTCGGTTAAAAAGATCAAATCTGGCAGAAACATATGTGGTGTTAATCAGCGCGACATTAGAGTATGCTTCCTCTGTCTGGGGCAATTGCTCCTCCTATAGTGCTAATAAATTAGAAATTCTACAGCTGGAAGCAGCTAGAATAGTAGCAGGTTTAACCAAATTTTCATCTTGTCAAAACCTATATAATGAAACTGGGTAGCAACTTCTAGCACATAGACGAAACGTCAAGAAACTTGTACATATGTATATAATAATTAACAAGCAATGCCTTTTATATACACCACTGATCTCATACCACGATCTGTGTCAGAAAACACCAAATTTAATCTCAGGAATTGTCATAATTTTGTTCTACGTTTTGCACGAACATCTACGGTTAAAAGATCCTATGTTATAGATACATTAGGCCTATGGAATAGTCAGAAGTCAGAAATAGTTCATCAGTATCTTCTTCTAAAACTGTCGTATCGGAGCGGCCCTCGTTGCCACCGACATATTATATTGCAGCTAGAGATACACAAATGTATTGCACACTAGATTGAGGCAAAGTTGCAGCACACTAATTTTCGACCTGTTTCGTGTTAACGTATCTGATGTCATTGCCTGTGAATGTGGCGCGCCATGCGAAAATTCATTCCATTTCTTTTTTTAATGTACCTGATATGATATACTCATGCCAGTAATGGTTGTCACCCCCCTCCCCACCCCAACCCCACACCCACCTCACACCCCACACCCCCACTCCAATTAAAAAAATTGAAGGGGGTGACAACCATTATTGGCATGAGTATATTACTTTAGCAAGTCACTATTCTCAGATGCTGATGACAAAAAACACTATCTTATTCGGTGACCCTAACCTAAACGATTTCTCTATTGAACACTGTATTTATATCAACTCTGTATGTGATTTCACAATGTCAAGCTCCCATTGTAAATTGTACATTACTAATATGTCATCACATCAGGTTCAGATTACACAGAACCTCTTGGACTTTGTACTCACCCCAAGAACCGCCATGTTAGCTGTAAACATCACTCCAGTTGTAGGATATGCAGGATTGAAATTGAAAGTACAAACACTGTTAAAACATGCAAGCACCTTAGAGAACACTTAATCTTATGGAAGGATGCAGAGCAGATATTATATATATGCATGGTTGGTTCTGAATTCATATAGAAAATTCACAGAGTGTTTATTGTCACAGGTGTCTTTGCCAGATGGCAATAAAAACTGGTATTTCAAGATATTGCGCTTCATATTTTCGTGATAAAAAATCATGCTCTTTCAAACACAATAAACACTATTTATTTTTTCAATCAAGGTCTTTGCATAAAAGCCTGGTTACTTAACTGAGTATAAATTACCAGAGCAAATCGCTGCGCAATGCAACCCCATTATTTAGCCGATGAGGATGGGGTGAATGAGTTTATTTTTACGCTGCTTTTAGTAATATTCCAGCAATATCATGGGGGACACCAGAAACGGGCTTCACACATAGTACCTTTATGGCCAACGAATCCGGATCTGAGGCGTGACGAGTGAACGTTTCAGCCACTTGGCTACCCCACCGCCTCCTACGGAGAATACAAGGGTACCAATACAAGGGTACCAATACAAGGGTACCAATACAAGGTACCTTTCGTAGTAACTGATTGATAAATCGAAACTTAAGGACCAAGTGATCATGCTTGTGTAATAGCCGAACGATAATGATTGTCACAACAGCCCATTGCTAATTCATGTCTTCAAGTTGATTAACAGTGCTTGCTGTAATAGACAGTTGATAAATCTTGTAGTAACAGTCGATTGATGAACCTTGAATGAAGATACTGTGGATAAAACCTCTCGAAATAGCCAACTGATGATTCTTGTAATGTCATACAGATAATGCTTGTGGTAATATCATGATTTTTAACGCTTGTAATAATAGCCCATGAATGGTGTGTTTTTTTACAGTAAGATAAAAGAGAAACTGGATGATATGCAACGATAATCGTAATCCCGTTATTATAAATCTGTAAAGATCCGGATTAGAATTGATCTTCAGCAACCCATACTTGTCGTTAGAGGCGACTAATGGGGTCAGGTAGTCAGGCTCGCTGACTTGGTTGACACATGTCATCGTATCCCAATTGCGTAGATCGATGCTCATGCTGTTGATCACTGGATTGTCCAGACTCGATTATTTACAGACCGCCGCAATATAGCTGGAATATTGCTGAGTGCGGCGTAAAACAACAAACAAACCAAACCAACCATTACTATAGGCCAAGTTAGCACTGTCGTAGTGTAATGAACAGCTTGTGCAGGTGGCGCCACAATGAACAAAAAAAACCCGTACGTAGCTGAATAGCGTGTAAACCCGAAGTCAAATCCTAAATGGCAAGTATAAAAAACCGTACAACCGCTAAATATTAAACGCTCCATCGCTCATTAATGAGAGGTATGACTCAAGATACATACTGACCTTACTTGGTCTCTTTCAATAGCTAAAGGTCACATACCATTGAAAGGTAGCCGATGAGGGTGGGGCGAGTGAGTTTATTTTTATGCCGCTTTTAGCAATATTCCAGCGGCGGGAACACCAGAAACGGGCTTCACACGTTGTAACCATGTGGGCATCGAATCCGGGTCTTCGGTGTGACAAGCGAACGCTTTAACCACTGGGCTACCGGCTGTCCCCGATGAGGATGGGGTATTGAAATATCCATCAACAGTCAGGATCATGCGTTTACTTATATTATTAACGACAATAATTATGCATGTGAGCCAGCTCTTTTGAACTGAAGAGTCAAAAGTCGATAAACCGGTACAAGATTTGTTAGGAGCTTAACCACCGATCCATAACATGAAGTGTGGAGTCAGAAAGGAGCTGTTGATGTTTGTTGTTGATTAAATTAACTCCGATTGTGATGAAATATGCATTATAAAACATCAGTTAGAGATTTCCTATGAGCTTGAAATGTTTTGGAGCCCCAAATACTACAGTCCACCCGCAAAAAAACCCATTACCTGTAAACAAAACAAGTACCTGTTTCATTCATTGTTTTCAATTTTGTTGAAATACTCGCGTCAGCATCAGACCAGCGATTTGTCAGTACTGTGTGAGGTGAAAGTTGTTCTGTATTCTAACTGGCTGACCTCACTGTAAGGTTATGGCCTAGTACCATAACTATTTCCAATACCTAAACTAGGGAAACATACATTGTCCTGACTAGATTTTCGGGACATAAATCATATCATCTCGACAAGGCTGGGAAGCCATTGAGCTTCACCAACCGATGCCTCACATAAACGCGGAGAGAGAAACAAGGGCTTATTGTATCTTGAACAATTTTGTCCCTTGGCAAGAGGTTTATATGAGTGCAGTATGTATTTAGGTTTAACCATGCAAAGATATTTTCCACCATAATTACATGTCATCACTAAACTATGCTTTGTGTAAACTTGCTTAAACGTTTGAACCAAAACCGTTGCTTCATTTTCCATCGTGCAAATGTTACAAGGGAATGGATGCAAAAGGCCGTCTAGCAATCACGGAGCGCCCGGGGCAAGTGCTGAAAACGGTTGTTGTAAAGAGGTTTTGAAAAGGTTATACCCCGGTAATTGTTCACTTTTTATCAATTATTAAATCGTGTTCTGTCATTCTGCATGATAAGTAATCTAATTGTTATATTGTCACGGACAGAACGCGTTAAGCTGTTTGAGTTAGGTAAAGCATCTACATTTAAAAGAAGTTAAATTTATACCAACAGTATCATCGAGTTAACACTGTTCTAAAAAACAACGGAATACGTCCGTTGTCAGGTGAGCCACAATGTCGCTACTGAATCTAAATGCAGACAAATTACGTCGGTTGTTTGCTTACATGTGCATTTGACAAACGAATCATGTATACGGATTAACAGGGACTGTAAGTCTCGCGTGGCGCTACCAAAGTAGTTACGAAAATAATTCCATTACAGGCCTTTTGCGCTGGACGCAGACCATCTGATGCTTAAAGCTTAGATGCAACCAACAAAATAAACATAACTAAAACACAAGTATCATTTATTCTTGACATATAATATCCATTGCTGATTATGAAAATCTACCCGTCTTTTCGTAATATATCTGTTATACTTAAATACCTAACATCTAGATTTCAAATCGCATAAAAACTAATGAATTTTACATTCTATTTCAAGATTTTTCATTCATGTTTTCAGCTTCAGTTTGTTTTATTCCTTCAATCATGTTTGCAATCTTTTGGAAAGAACTGGTCGGTCAATTTATCTCCATATATTTCTGTGTGGTTCTCTGTCCACGTTAATTACATCCACCCAAGAATCTAAGGTCGTATCTAACAAGATAATTCCAGGTAGCCTTTGACTCTATAATATACTTATTGGCCACAATCTCACAGTCCCTGGACCATTCTATTTGTCTTTCTGTCCAGTACTTTCTGTACCAGGAAAGACCTAAATGAAGCAAGTTATAGATGTGTTAGTCGAGTAAGTAATATGTCCATCATTTGCGCTGTTTGTTTTGATCCATGCATCCAATGTATGTAATTGAACCCATGTAATTTAGTCAGATTGCAAATTTGAAATTTGAAAAGTTTGGACTGGTTAGGACTACCTGTCCTCAACATCAGCGACGACTTCACCCTGTCAATGGCTGTGTTATAGCCTTGACGTTTAACCCAACCCGACCATCTTGCAGAAACTGTGTAATCTACATGGTTGAGATACTGGATAAGATATATTTCACTTTCAAATTGTGCATTCGTATGTTGCTTTTAATGCCACGCGTTTCTATGTGAGTCAGGGAAATGGACAACTAGATGTCCAGTGCAATTGGTTCCCGCGTCTTCGCAGATGAATAATTCACCTTTTCCGAGTACCTTTTCTGTTTCCTGGTTCAGAATGTGTTCGCACTGTAGTGATATAGGTGAAAAAGAATGTAAATAAACACTGGGCATTTATAAAGCGCCTATATCCTCGCATTTGTGCATGCTCAGGATGCTAAGACATTATACCCCTAAGCTGTCTGTGAGGAGCTAGAAGGTTAACAGTATTATGACTTGTCCCGCCGGGTACCCATTCACTGCTGGGATAATAGAGGCAATATTAAACAAACTCACTTGCTGTGGTGGGGCCACATGTGTCACGCGCACTTCGTTGCGGAGCAGGACAGAAGACCAACGTAGCCTAACTTCAACTGATGTGCGACCTGGGCCCTAGGTACAACACCACACAAGACAACTCAACTCTACACCACGCCACATCTGAAACCGCACCACACACCACACCTGAAACCACACCACACCACATACCACACCGCACCACCACACCACACCACACACACCACACCACACCACACCACACCACACCACACCACACCACACCACACCACACCACACCACACCACATACCGCACCGCAGCGCACCGCACCGCACCGCAGCGCACCGCACCGCACCGCACCGCACCGCACCGCACCGCACCGCACCGCACCGCACCACACCGCACCACAACACACCACACCACACCACAACACACCACAACACACCGCACCGCACCACACCAATCGCGCCCCGGCACGACACGACATACAGCACAAAACTTGCACACTTGCTGTGGTGAGGCCATATGTGTCACGCGCACTTCGTTGCGGGGCAGGACAGAAGACCAACGTAGCCTAACTTCAACTGATGTGCGACCTGGGCCCTAGGTACAACACCACACAAGACAACTCAACTCTACACCACGCCACACCTGAAACCGCACCTCACACCACACCTGAAACCACACCACACACCACACCTGAAACCACACCACACACCACACCACACCACACCACACACACCGCGCCACGCCACACACCACACCACACACCACAACACACACCGCGCCGCGCCACGCCACCCCACGCCACGCCAAACACAACGCCACACACCACGCCACACACCGCACCGCACCCATCGCGCCCCGACACGACACGACATACAACACAAAACTAAACCACACTACACTACACTACACTACACTACACTACACTACACTACACTACACTACACTACACTACACTACACTACACTACACTACACTACACTACACTACACTACACTACACTACACTACACTACACTACACTACACTACACTACACTACACTACGCTACAACACACAACAACACACCGCTACAAACACATGCCTTGCTGTGAG